ATTTCTGGAATAAACTCAGATTCATAATTGAATTTTATCTTTTAAAAGAAGACATTTCCAAGTTCAAATTTCCAATAATTCTGTTAAAGATTTTAACATGTATTTTAATGGGAAAAAAACAAAACATCCATATAATTTTCTTCACATACTCTTGGTATTAGGCTTCTACTGGCCTTTATTAGACTAATTTGGAGAAATAGGTCTTTTTTCCTATTCTTTTGAAGACTAGAGTGACATGATCCTTAAAAGTTTAGTTTAAGAGAATTCAGCTCTAAAACCATCTGGATCAGTTGTTTTTCTCCGTGGGAAGATTTTAAACCATTGATTACCAACCTATAGTAGTTACAGTATTATTCAGGTTTCGTATTTCTTCCTGAGTGTGCTTCGATGAATTCTATTTTTCTAGAAATTTGTAAATTTCTTCTAAGTTTTCAAATTTACAGCTAAAAAGTTTACAGTACTTTTTAATATTCAGTCTTTATTGTATTTGCCACTGTATCCACTTATTTATTTCAGTCTTATTTATTTATACCTTGTCTTTGATTTCTTGTTCACTACCCAAATGGATTGTCTTATCTTTCTTAATCTTTCAAAGTTTCAACTTCTGACTTCCTTTAATCCCTGCTTTTGTCTTTCCTAATTCTAATTCTTATCTCCTTTTCTTTGTTTATTATAATATTCCTTTTCTATTTTAAGTTAAATGCACAGCTCTGTTTTCAGCTTTTCTTACATAAGTATTTTTAAAATTTTCCTTTAAATACCAACTGCATTTCATCCTACAAATTTTGATTGGTGGTATTTTCATTATCATCGACTTGTGAACATTTAAAATTTCTATTTTTTCTTCTTTGTCCTACTGGTTCTTTAAAAGGATGGATAACTTAAAATGCATAGGGTTTTCAAAAATTATATTTTTTGTTATTTACTTCTAAGTTAACAGCATTGTGGTCAGAAAATAGTGTGCAGGATAATGATTCTTTGAAATGTGTTAATCTGTGCTTTGTAACCTAGTACACGTTCAGTTTTTGTATGTTTGTGTATTCCAAAGGATGCAGTGTTCATAAACCATGCTTAAATGAGTCGTTAAAATCTACTAAAGATAGAGGAATTTTTTATATCCATGAATTATTAGTAATTGAGAAACGTATTTAAAAATTTCCCAATATGACAGTAAATTTGTCAATATTCTCTAGTTTGGTCAAATTTTGATTTAGATATTTGAGTCTATTTTATTAGGTGCATTCAAATTTAAAACTGCTACATTTAATGATAAAGTGGACTTATTATATAATGACCTTCACTCTCCTCAATGATGTCTGTAGGCCTTAGATAAGTAGCCTTGTCTGAAGCCTACTTTGCTAATGTTAATATAACTGTTCCATTTTCTTTTAGTATTTGCCTGAAATATCATTTTCTACCCTTTTATTTTCTTTCTTTTTGTTTACTTATGCTTTGTGTGTCTTTTGTAAGCAGCATTTAACTTCAAGAAATTCAACTGACCTGAAACTGTCCTTCATCAGCAAGATGAGGCAATTTATATTTATTACAGGACTTGTTCCTATATCCAACATTTTTCATCTCTATTTTTCTTCCATTTTTATGCCTTTTTCTTCCTTTCTTTACTTTTATTTGAATTGACTTTAAGTATTCTTTTCCCACATCTTGATTCTTTTTTCCTCCTCTACAGGCTTCCAGTACATATATTCTGTATTTACTCTTATAGTGGTTATCCTTGAAATTTTACCATATAAATTTAACTTATGTCAAAAGTTAACTTTCAGCCCTCTTCCAAACAATACATTTCAACTCTGATCTTCCCCTTGTCAACTTAACTATTATTGCTATCCAGTGTTTTAGTTCTGTACTTCTCACCTCCCACTTTCATTTTTAAACAAATTAGTGGGTTTTATTATTGTAGGATATCAATGCAAGTAACTGATGACTTACAAATGTGTTTTTGTTTATACTCATATAATCTCTATATTTAACTACAATCCAGGACATTTTCCTTAAACTTGACAGTTAAGTATCCAGGTGTCTACATGCCATCTAAATGGCATGTCTGTCCAAACAGCACTTAAAATTTCTAAAGAGTTCCTACTTTGCCCAGCTGGTGTGGCTCAGTGGTTGAGCATCGACCTATGACCCAGGAGCTCTCGGTTCGATTTCCAATCAGGGCACATGCCCAGGCTGTGGGCTCAACCCCCAGCAGGGGTCGTGCAGGAGGCAGTCTATCACTGACTTTCTCATTAATGTTTCTATCTCTCCCTTTCCCTTCCTCTCTCTGAAATCAATAAAAACATATTTAAATTAAAAAAAAAAAAAAAAAAAAGAGTTCCTACTTCCCATTTCTCTTCCCAGGCTTCTCCATCTCAGTCACCCAATGCTCAAACCAAAACACCCAGGCGTAACTGACTGATTCCTTCTTCTCCTTCATCTTACACCTAGTTCATCCTTTTATAACTCGAAAATATTCTCTAACCTCTTTGCTTTTCTTAATCCTCACTATCATCCCCTAGTCCAAAACCAAACTCATCCCTTTCTTTTTAACTTTAATCCCTTTCCAATTCAATCTCCATAAAACAGCTAGTGATCTTTTTAAAATGTGTGTCAGATCAATGACTTCATCAGTTAAAATCTCACTGATTTCTAAGTAAATTCCAGACACTGTATGTCCTGCACAGTCTGGTTCCTGCCCACTTCATCATCTTCACTTCAGCCCTACTACCATCATACATGCAAAGGCCTTTTCTTTTCTTTTTTTAAAATCCTCACCCGGAGATATTTTCTCTATTGCTTTCTGAGAAAGTGGAAGGGAGAGAGAGAGAAAACATCGATGTGAGAGAGAGACATCGATTGGTTGTCTCCCACAACATGCCCCAGCACCTCAACCAGGGCTGGGATTGAGCCTGCAACAGAGGTACTTGCCCTTGGCCGGAATCCAACCTAGGACCCTTTAGTCCGTGGGCCATCGCTCTAACCACTGAGCCAAACCGGCTAGGGCAGCCCTTTTCAATATCTCTGCTCTGACCTTTGCTTTTGCCTAGAAACCTCTTCCTCAACTGCTAATTCTCATCTTTCAGATCCCAGCTCAGAAGTCAATTCCTAAGAGAAATCCTCCCTGAATGCTCTAAAAAATGTAGGCCCCTATCAGTTACTTTCTATCAAATTAGTATTTTATTCCCTTCACAGTAATCATCACAGTTTGTCACTTAACATGTTTATATCTTGGTTGTTATGTTTCTCCCACCATAATGTGAGCTTCACAAGGAAATCTTATTTGTCTTGTTGCCTGATATAATCCCAGGATCCAGCACAATACCTGCCTGGTACATATTAAATGCTCAATAAATATCTGCTCAATGAATAGATAATTACTACCACAAATTACATATGAAACAGTTAATAATATTTAGTAAACTAAGTAATGGTGATTAAAGATGATAGCATAAAATCACGAAGAGCAGAAAACTCCACCTCAACCTACCACTGTCAAACCAATTATATTTGTAAATTTCTTTCTTTACAGATTTTCTAGTATGTTTTATTCCCAGATTTTCTGACGGAATTAATCTCAAGATGGAAATTTATACCTTTTGCAAAATACAAATTTTAATATTAGTCCAAGCTGAAAGATTTTTCCTAAGAAAACATATGCACCAAAATAGGTCCCATGAGAGACTAAATATTAAAACCAACTAATTATCATAGAAAAAATTTAAAATTATCACAAAGATACTCCATCACCAAGCCAGAAGGTTTCACAAGCAAATACTAACAACATTTAAAGGAATAAATAGCGATTTAAACAAGAAACTATTTAAACAACTTTAAAGCAATAAATAAGTTATTTAAAGGAATAAAAAACCTATTTAAACACCAAAGGATTCAAAAAGAAAAATAGGAAACACAATCTTTTAGCAAAGCAAGTATCAAACTGTTATCAAGACGAAAAACTAGAGACAATTCACACAATGGGTCTCAATATTAAAATCCTATGTAAAATATTAGCAAACAGAATCCAGCAGCTCAGAATAAACCATGACTATGTGATCACGCTGAGTTTATTTCAAGAAGCAAGGGCAACTAAATTTTAAGTAATATTGTAAAAGAATTATTCCTCATGATCATTAGGTCAAAAGTGGAAAATCTTTCTGATAATTTCCACTGATACTAAAAAGACTTTAATTAGCAAACATTCTTGCTAGAAATCTAAAAAATAGTAACGGGGTTATTTCCTTAGTGCGATTAAAAAAAATGTGTGTTTGTGTGTGAAATCAACCTAAAAGCCAGAATCATTCTTATTGTGGAAATACTAGAGCAAGTGTTGGTAAACTATGGCTCATAGGTTATTTCTAGCCCGTCACTGGTTTATATAAATAAAATCTTGTTGCAAGAGAGCTACACCCATTCATTTACATATTGTCTATGGCTACTTTTACACTACAATGGTAGAGTTGAAAATATTTACTATCTGACCCTTCACAGTGCAAATTTGACAACCCCTGTAATAAAGCACTCCCATTAAAGTTAGAAAAACATAAAAATGTTTACCATCAAGCACTGATTTTTGGAGGTATCATCTAATGCAATCAGACATTCAACTAACGTTCAACTTTTGCAACTACCACCATTTCTATCACTGACTCCCTCTGAGACTGCCCCTTCTCCCTTGTCATTATATCCACCATATAGCAATGGCAGCTCTAATTCACTCAAACCTAACTCAACCAAAGTGATTTTTTAAATGACCAAGTTTTCTGTAATAAAGCAAAATGGAAACACATACTGTATTTTAATAGAAGATACTGAAATTACCTGTATTTTCAATTTGACTATTCTTTGTAACACATCAAAACCATAATGAAAAAATCAATAGGACCTACTAGTCCTACACAGGGCTTGTAAATGCAATTAACAGCATACCCAATATTTTAATGTGATGTACAGCACTCTTGTACAATGCACATAGAAATAATAAATCTCACTGTTAAACATACCCTTCCTGAAGAGATAAATGGTTTTCTTCAGGACCACTACTATCACTGTGTAGTTCAGGTTCATTTTCATCCTTTCCTGGTAGAGTCTCCCAGCTTTCATCACTTGAGGACTGATCTTTTTCTGTACCAGAAAATCGATGAGGCAAAGAAGCAGACCATTCTCCATCACTGCATTCTGAACTGCAAATTTAGAACAGAAATAAAGTAAACTGTCATTATATGTGCATTTATTGTTTGGAGTGTTAACAGGCACATGGTATAGAATGGACTACTGATGCCACACATGCTTCATCAGGTGCCAATTTTTAAAATATTTTTTAAATGAATAAATAAATATATTCAGCAGAATGTAACTTTGTTTTTAATCCTCACCAGAGGAGACATAGACATCAATGTGAGAAAGAAACATTGACGAGGTGCCTTACAGATTGAACCTACAACCTACATATGACCTGGAATCAGACCAGCAACCTTTTGGTGCACAGGACAATGCTCTTAGATATAGGTTCTTCATATTTTAGACATGTTTCTAAGTAAAAATTTAAACATAACTTGGTAATTATAAATTTATTATTCACCTGGCCTGACTTAAAACAATTTTCTAATTACATAATTACAAACTGATGAAATATCTTCTATGAATAATTCCTACTATTGCCATGTTTTAAAAGCTTAACTATTTTTTCCTTCCTTTTTCACAGACTTTAAAATGAAGATACATTCAAATTCGTATAAAGTAGCACTGACAAATCTTTAGTGAAGTCCTTTGGTAGGACTGTGAACACAAAATATATTTCAATTCAAGAGAATACTTAGGTAAGAAACCAAAACATATGATAAAGGGTTAATAAAGAACCTCAGAAAATTACTTTTTATTATATTTAACTTTGGTTAACTTGGTTACATTTAACTATTCTTAAAGCACCAGTCATACTACCAAGGCAAAAATATTACTTAAACAATGTTAATAATAAATCTTAAATGCTCCTTCTGACCATCTCAACCATTCTGGTCAAGAATCCCTTAATGATTTCCTTTTTGTGTACTGAATTTTGAGAAGCCAAAAAAAATAACAAATTTTAGTTTATGTTTTTGAAAGGAAGTGATAATTAGTAAGAAATTGTCTTTTATGATGACAACATATTATTAATATCTAAACTAGTTAGTGAGTTCTTCCTTCTATAGGTAGATGCACCCAAGAGATCAAAATTCTAACAAAGAGCAGCACTAAGCTGAGCTCTGAGAAACTAGAAGTACAAAAGTAAAATGAACATCCAATTTTCAATAAACGATGGGCAGCAGGGCACAGGCATCCTGGAGAAGGAATGCAATGGAGCTCTGGGATAGCAAATAAAAGACAATGAAATGCCTATAAAATTTTCTGTGACCCAAAGAATCATCTAAGATCAAGTAAGTCATCTCTAGGCTTGCATCAGTGTCAAAATCTACCAAGAAATAGATTTATAAGGAGCTTACTGGGCTGTTAAGGATCCTTGAGTATGAAGCTTCTCAAATTCAAAGCTAAATTACCACCTCCAAATCTGAGAATTTTAGGTAAGATTTCTAAATTAATTTGTGGCAATTTTTTACATACTAAAGAAAACCTCATGTTTTAGACATTTCACTCAGAGTATGATACTGTTCAGAAAGTAAACACATGAAACTTCTGAACTTTCCTAGATTAACTTTTCTATTAATTAATAAAGTAATTCATATACTATCTACAAATTTTAATACAAAAAGAATGTCTGTCATCAACATATTTAAGAAGCCTATGTGAAGGACTGGCAAACCACAGCTTTTGGGCCAAATCTGGCTTTGCTGCCTGTTAAAAAATGGTCTGTAAGCTAAAAATGGTTTTTTACATGTATATCTTTGATTTTTGTCTCTTAATCAACAAACCCTAAAATATTTACTATTTGGCCTTCAAGAAAAAGTCTGTGGACCCTTAGCCTGTATCATTACTCATTATACACAACCCTTCCCTCTAAGTAGATAATTTTAAAACATCTATCCCCAGCCCTGACCACCATACTAAGCTTTCATAATCACTAACTGCCCTCTAATCAATTTAGATTTCACACTTCTTTTTCAAGTTATGTTTTAAAAACAAAATCCATCTGCCAGATAAGTCCCTTTCTTCATTTTCTAACTGCTAATGGTATTACTCTGCTTTTATGCTAGAAAACACTTATTTTGGACTCTTAACAAACTCCCCATGTTTAACTTTCCATTCTTTCTAACTTTCCATTCTTTCTGTACAATGGCTCTTATATCCTAGCTCCTTTCCCCCCATTTCTCAAAACAAACAAACAAACAAAAACAAAACCCCTAAAAACCAAAAAACCTTGTTCAAGTGCTTTTCTCTAAACCTAGTCAATTATTAATTTATGTCCCTAAATTTAATCCACTCTCAACTCACTTAAAAAAATGCAACCTAAATATCACTGTCACTTCCATTTATATCAAATAGTAAATTTATAATTACTCCAAAAACCTTTAAGAGTTTTTTCCTAAAGCAGTATTTCACAAATTAAGCCATTTGCCTCACATTGTTTGCTACAGTTGTACATTAATACTGTCTTAAGATACAGTACTAGTTGGGAACATAGGTTCTGAGGTCAACTTGTCTGGATTTGAATCCACCACTTATTAGCTATGAAAAAGTTACTTAACCTCTCTGTGCCTCTACCACTTCACATATCAGGTAAGTCTAATAGCTCAATGAGTTCGTGTGAGGAGTAAATGAGTTAATATATACAAAACATTCTAACAGTGTTTGGTAAATAATAAGCCATCAAAAACAGTTAGCAAATCATTTTTTAAGAACATTTTTTTACTCAAATACATTTAGTTACCTCCTAAGCAATATCCATAAAATTTCAAATTTTATGAGTTAGCTATATTTTTTATTCCCATTAAGACAAATATAATGATAAAAATTAGTAATACTTATCTGTGTACCACTTAATATATTTGACTCACTTTGGAAAATTATGGCCTATAGAAAAAAAGTTTAAACTTTGAATGGCATGATTTACTACACTCTGATCCCAGTTACTAGTACATTCTTACATCCAACTCTTTTGTTACATGAATGCTCTTTATTTCAAATACTGTTCCGGAAGTGTGAACTTTCGCCATAACCATTTCTCCCACCAACAAGAATGTCTTCACAATCACTTCACTTTTTTTCTCTTTCAGGCTCAGATCATTCCTTCAAGACCCTTTCCTATAGAATTGTTTCTTTTGTTTTTCAGTTAATTAATTGAAATCTTGTTTAGTCAGTCAAACTCACTAAAGCACAGGTGCCTCTTTAACAATGCATTTAAAGGTACTTTTCATAAGTATCAAATCACAGTTTCTTTAATAATGACCAGAAAAGTGTCTGAGGAGATCAGCCTGAATAGTGAAGTACTTGTAAAAGCTCTTTGAAATTAAGACTGTGCAATTGCCTGGTTTTAAATAGGGAACTTTTGGTGTTATTAGTTTATTTGAAAAGGGCCAAAAATTAATCCTCTTTAAAGTATGTTCCAGAAATAAATACATATTTGTGATATAGTGACAGAAAGTAATATATGAACAATTTCCTATTAATATTTCATTCTGAACATTATTTATCTATGACAAGTTTCAAACTTAATGTCTATTACTGATTTAAAAGTCCAAACTGGCTCAGAGGGCTAGTCAGAGGACACTATATGCAACTACGATTAAGATTTTTTACTATAAAAAACCCCCAGAAAACAAAGAACCTACCACAGGCAATTTCCTTACTGAAGAAACAAGATACTGTATTTATATATTTTACATCAGGTGAAAGTTCCATTGATGACAGCCTCTTTTTCACCCCTGGCAGTGGAATGCCACATTGCTAAGAGTAAGCTTTGAAGTCAGACAGATCTGGGTTAGGAACATGGCTTGGTATTTACTAGCAATGCAAGCCCAGGCATTTAACTTCCCTAAACTCACTTTTCCTCATATGTAAAATGAGAATATTACTATTTACTTTTCAGGGCTATAGTAATATTTAAATGAATGCTGCAGATAAAATGTTTAGCACAATTTTTGGAAAAGGGTAAACAATTAATAAAGGTGGCAGTTACTTCATTATATAAGCTGTCTGCTTAGAGCTGTCATTTCGATTTCCTACCAGCACACCACCATTATCCTCTTTAATCTACCAAAGAAAATCTACATCCTCTGGTTTGTTTTACTAAATGGCAATATCAGCCACCTGGTTATCCAATTATCTTTAGTTTTACTCTCTTTACACCAGAGGTCAGTAAATTCTGCCCTGGCCCATGAGCGAAATCTAGCCACCTGTCCATTTTTTTATGAGCTGGAAGCTAAGAAATATGGTTTTTTGCATTTTAAAATTGTTATATAAGTGCCTACACAAGATCCTCGCTTTTATCTTTTGGTCCACAAAGCCTAAAATATTTACTATCTGGTCACCTTTTTAAAAAGTTTGTCAACCCTGGGGGGTCTGGAGGAGACATAGGTCAATGGAAGAGAAACTGAGGAGCAGGAAAGGGTGAGCAAACAGCTCAGTAGCAGCACTGTAGTCAAAGAAAATGAATAGTGAGAAAAGTCACCTGGCTGTGGAAGTTAGGAGGTCATTGTTAACGTGAAAGAATAGACAAATAATACTGAGAATTATATTTGGAGGTGTTTAAGAAGAGTGGATAGAAGGAAGAGAAGCTGTGGGTATGGAACATTTATTCTGAAAATTCCGCAATGAAAGAGAAAACAAACAGGCAAGTAGATAATAGAAGGAACAAGATCAAGTGAAGGTTTCCACCAGACTGTGAAAAATTGGAGAATGCGAGGTAGAGGGGAGCAACCTAGGAATAAGGATAATAGATAAGGTGTCAGATGTGACTGTAGGCACAGAATGAGAAAAGTTACCTCTCTTCACTGAAAAAACTGAAAATAAATACTGAGATACTCTAACATGGAGAAGAGAAAAACAAGAAAGTTCACGTTTAACTAGTTCAGTTTCTCCAGGAAAGCAGGAGTGCAAGTCATCTACTAAGAGTGACAGAAGTGTATGAAATTAAAAGCAAAAAGAGAAAGAATTTAAAAATAAGTTTTCAAGGACAGTAAGCAACAGAACAAATAAGATACAAAATAATTGTGGATTAGGGGACCATTTGTTCTTGACTAGAAAAGCACATGAGGTAAATATTTTAAATTCTCAAAGTAAAAAATAAATTAGGTACCACTTTAATTTTCATATGCTCTATTATTGTCTCCCATTAGCATTTAGAGCTATATTCAAAAGGAGACAACTATAACTTATTAGAATGCTACATTCTTTACACATTCAATTGTGAACCAAAAATACTTTTTTCACATATGGAATGAAATTATGTGTGACTTCTAGACAAATAATTTATGTACAAATCCTAACTAGAAATAAGATCGAGAAGTAAAATCAGCCAAAAAAGCAACCCTCTTCTTTACTAAATCCCTCAAGGAACTGGTTGGTTTGTCTTTTCTAGCATTCATCACATGCATAAATAATCAACTACAAAGGAGACGAGGGAAAAGTGAAAGATTAGATAATTTTGTCACCTGACTAGAAGATCAAAAAAAGTTTTTATTTTTATTGAAAATACTCTGGATGGCCTGGCCGGGCGTGGCTCAGCGGTTGAGCGTCGACCTGGGATCCAGGCGATCCGGGTTCGATTCCCAGTCAGGGCACATGCCCAGGTTGTGGGCTCGATCAATGACTCTCTCATCATTGATGTTTCTATCTCACTCTCTCCCTCTCCTTTCCTCTCTCTGAAATCAATAAAGACATATTAAAAAAAAAAAAAGACAATAACTCTGGATGGAAATTGTGTTAAAACATATAATTATTTTCATTTTCAAAGACAGTATACGGAACACAGTCTAAGCAGCCTAGGATATTTCACCACTGTTCACATTTAACTATGTTGTAATACAGTGATACAAAGGGAACTTATTGAAATATACAAGCCTGCTTAATTTAGAAAATAAGGCCCAGATGGTGTCCTTTTAAAATTGTACCTGCTTTTTACAACTTTCCGTTTCTTTTCCTTAATATCTAAGTATTATAATCTGTAACTTGCTAGCATGCCTGAAGAACAAAGCTGTTTATCCCTAATTTACTCCTAAACTTCTATGAACTTGGAAACAAGATAAAAAGGTGTGCTAAAATGTTAGAGCATGTGCTTTAAGATCTTTTTCTTGGCTGCTTAGAGATGTTTTATTTGTCAAGATACAGGAAGATCAGAGGAACTCTTTCTTCATGACCCTTACCTAACATATATAGAAGAGGAAAGGAGCTTAATTTAGTCTCATAATAATTATCTGTACGTCCTGTCTTCCTCATAAGGTTGGTGAACACCAAGAAACAGGGACCATTATATGCATTTAGAGTACCCAGAACAAAGTCTGACACTTAGGAGGATTTCAAGAAATCTTTTTTGAATAAATCAAATAGAAATCAACTAAATGGCTAATACTCTTTTAATTCTCCCAATATCAACAACAAAAAAAGCTGTCCCAACATTTTATCTTAGGTAAGTTTTTTTTTTACCTTTTAAGCAAGTTTAAGGCCTAGAGAGAAAAATTGTGAAAGAAACCTCAAGTGCTATAAGGAATGGTTAGGAGACGGCATGCCTCTCTTCAGAACAGTTAGGCCCAGGGTTAAATAAAATGTGCTGGCATGGCTGAAAGGTCCTTTTAAACTCAAGATCTTGTCCTCAACAGTTATTAAAGTTCTCAGAGTGTATGTCAAAAGAGCAGGATATTAACCTTAGCTCTTTGGTCTAATTCCAAGTCTGGTAATTATATGCTGCCTATTAAAATTCCCCTTGCAGCTCTAATTTAATAAGGTGGTGCTCAGTTCCTGTCAAACAGCTTAGAGCAATGCTACCAACCACAATGCTTTTCCCATAGAGTGTAATGTTTCAGATGTGATTAAGTGATCATTTAGAATTTTTCAGCAAAGAAAAGGATCATGCATTCATTAAAATACTTTTCCATTTATAAAGTATATATATACACTATACATTTCTAAAGTGCCCCAAATTCCTGTATCTACATATGTCACAGTAAAGTTTAGTTAAGTTCTTGATAAGGGAGTTCAATTTGTAACTATTATAACACAAACATAACAAAATATTTTTCAAGTACATCATCTTTAAGTTTTACAAAGCAGTGAAAACTCAACAAAAAAATCTTATAGATTCAAAGCAGAAGCTATTTGTACTTTCCTTCTCAAAATACTTATGGTAGAGCCACTGTGTTTCCCCATTTCTCCAACCTGCTAATATTATTGAGCAGGACTACAGTAAGACATCAGATAGATGAACAACTGGCAAAATGAAACTAAACAGGAGTTACAACTATTAAATTTCAACCTTGATCTGCCACCATATTAAAAGGCATATGGCAACTGTGATCCTTTGCAGGGAGTAAGAGCAGATGAACTGGAAACAGTAAGATAGAAACAGAATTTTACTCCTTAAAATTGTAGTGACTATTGAAATGAGATCCTAAAACATATCTTAAGACTTATAGATGCAAATATAAGTGGAATCCTAGGTAGAAACGTTTTCCTTGAGAATTTATTCTGTGATGAGTCTTGAAAAAAAATCCTAAGTGTTTCTGGCATTTCAACGTGTTTTTAAAAATGCCCCAAAATTACTCTGATCTTTCAAAGCACACCCAACTACAGGTTCTGTAAATAAATATATTACCAAAAAGTTGAAAAAAATAAGTTTCTATTAATTATAAGTACTTTTCTCATCTGTATATTCTGTTTGTAAAAAAATCTATCACTGTTCAGAATGACATTTCACTTAAGGAAAAAAATTATAAATAAGTATGCTAACACAACACCCTATAACCATTTAAAAAATCCAGTTATTCTAAGCAAAGAAAACACTTCTATTCACAAAAAGAATCAATTTAAAAACCAAGAGTCAAGAAAACTACCTTTTCTCTTTAGGTTGGCAAACAGTATAAAAATTTCAACTTCATTAGATGACATTAGGCCTGATTATTAAAAGCAAACAAGAGGTTTTTATTTTTGATTAGTGTGTCTACAATGGAGATAGCAGAGCCAAATTAAATGATAAGGCTGTAAGTTGATTTATTTTTTAATAGTAACTTAGGGGTAAATAGAATTAACAATCCAATACAAAAATCTTAGGGATAAGTATGTTTTGGAATTTAGATTTTTTCCCCCCTGAGATTTAGAAACATTACCTAACAATTCCCAGTGGGGTCTAAGCCAGCACCCAGTAATCAAGCACTCATATTACTGCAACAAAATTTATAAATGCTTGAAAAAAAGGCCTCATCTTAGTTCAGACACAGATCTGCCACCAAGTAAGTTAACATCAAGTCAGGTTTTGCTGCCAATATCCATTTTTAGAAGTTTGTGGGTTTTGGGTAAAAGACTGTGGACCTAAACTGGAAAAATAGAAATAAGTCAGGCAAAAGTTCTTAACTACGTTTACCCTTACCTTAAAAAACAGTAGGTTTCAAAAATATTATCTGCTAATACTTAAAGTTTACAAACTTCCATGACAGTAGAGGAATTATATCTCAATTACTTCTACAAGTTAGTTAATTCATATATCCAAAGAAAATAACATATATTTTATTAATTTTATAATATGAAATAAAATACATAAAATGCATTCATATTCTAAAGGATATATGTCTTCCTTTGTAGCACTTTCTAGTTAAAAAAATATTATTTCCATAAATTGTATTGTAATTGAGCATAGTTGGATTTACAGCTAACTTAAAAGGACACTTGGACTCTGGAATAATAAAACGTAAGCAGTTAGACAAAGAAATTCTCCATTTCTCTCCTCTTTCTATTGTCTTACAGTTTGGGGATAAAGAAAACTATGCAGCAGGGATCAGAATGCTTATTATAAGAAAAGTTATGTGTTCTCCTGAAAACAGTAAATTGTAGTGGTGAAGAACCAAGTCTGGAGTTATGCAGTAAGTAGATGCTAAAATTCCAGCTCTACTGCTTACTAGCTTTGTGACCTTAGGAAGTTAATTCTCTTGTGCCTTAGTTTCCTCATTCACAAATGGGGGAAATAATAGTATGAACCACATAGACTTGTTAATGAAAATTAAATGCTAAATAAAAATAAGAAATAAACTTAGTGATAGGAAGAACAAAGAAATGGGTGTATTAATAAATATTGGCAAAGTTAATGCAATATTATCAATCAAAATTTCCTGTGGTTTTAATTACCTTTAAAACCCAGACTGGCTTGGCATAGGATTTTTAAAAATACAATAAATGTTTACCTTGCATTTCATTAACTGAAATACAAAGAATTAAAATAATTAGTATCTATTCTTTTGTAATCATTATCATCACATGGTTATAATTTCTATACACTCCTGAAACACCTCATAAAGAAAGTTTCTGTAAAAAGTTAACCACTAATTTGCACGTATGGTTAGCATTTGGTAAATGAGAATATTTGATAAATTAAAATATCCAATACTCTGACTATGTCAGAGAGCCCAGCCATCAAACATCATGGTATTATACACTCTGCTCACTACATAATATGGCAAAGTATTGAATAAAACCTTACCTATCTTCATCTTTGTCATACAGTTGGTAATAATCGCCACAGCCATTCCAGAAGGTGTTATTCACAACTTCTTGCCTTCTTGCTATGGCTCCACTTTCTGATGTTATTTGGTTATTTTCTGTTTCACTCTGTGTAACTCTTGCGAAAGGTAGATCCAAGAACATACAGTCATGTCCTCCATCGTAGTCATCACATTTTATCAAGAGGTCATCTGAGCCATTTTCCTCAACTTCTAAAGCCTCCCTCCACCTCTGAACACTTCTTTGTTTAGCCTCATGCCTACTAAGACCTGATTCTTGGTTCACCTGGCTTGAACTTATCAGTTTTCTAACTTTGGGCCTCACTACCTGTTCAGGAGAACTTCCCTGCCTGTTGTCCCTATCCCTGGTATTTTGTTCACTGCAAATATGCCCCAGAGCACAGGCTGAATCTTCAGGTGAATTTTCTCTCTGTCTCTCCTGGCTAGTATTATTTTGTTCTTTCTTTCTAATAACTTCCTCTTTAGAAGAGGACCTCTGAAATTCCTGATTGGTCTGACTGACAAACTCAGTATCACCAGTAGAACTTTTCACTAAAGGCGCTGAATCAAACTCTTCAAACTCATCTCGTATTTCACAGTTAAAAGAGGGAACTGGCGGTGAAAGACCAGTATATGCCTCTACCTCTCCATTTTCCAATTCAAATATTGTATTGCCCAATGCTTCCTGATATCTACCACTTTCCACAACTTCCGCAGAAAGCTGAAGATGGTCATTATCCTCCTCTCTATGTCTGCCATCTGGATCATAAGAGTCAGTATGAATCAATGCAATTCCATTTTGGACACTTGAGGCATTACAAGCTCCCGAAGTATATTCTCCCTCAGAGTGATTATGAAGATTTGTACTGCTTCCTAAGGTCTCCCTGCCTTCCCCACTATGAAGTACTGTAGCAAAGGATGGACTGCTCTCAATGGTCTGATTCAGTGCTGTGTCACAAATGGGAATTTCTGCTTCACTTTTTCCAAATAAAGGATTGTTGGGTAAAGACGACTGTACTTGATCCAATGCACTGGAACCTTCGTACAGAACGAGAGAAAACATTTGGAGGGATTAATTTAGATAAAATTTGATTTAATCATGGCTATTTAAGTAGAAATCATATCATTACCTACTTGAGATTATAAAATAATTTCTCTGACAGGTGCTTCTATGTGCCCTTACTTAACTGGGAGGGCAGAAAGGTTATCCTATGAGTTCATTTATGCCACTGTACTGTGCAGTCACTCAATATCATTTTACTTGTATGTCTTTTGCAGGTTTTTCACCTAAATTCTAACACCTAAAACATTCTGTAAAAGACATTAAAAAGAGGCTAATGAAAGAACAAACAATAAACAGCATAAGTGAAGTCACTGCCCTCCCAGCTGTCAGGGTGTACAATTCAAACTTAACTTCTTTTATTACATACAAGTTAAAAAAAAACCAAAACCTTCAAAAGTACTTATGATAGATATAAGATCAGATTACACATCTAACAGAAATGAGACTCTACTGTGTTTGATGTCATTTCAGAAGATTATAACTCAGTCTCTAGATATATAATATTAGATTTCTACCCCAAAAGTGGACTGTTGTAATATAGCTATAATCAATTAACTTTAGATATGTTACAGCTATGAATGAAAAACAGCGAAAAGTCAATGCTGATCCTCTTTGCCACAGTTTGTCAGAATCTTAACACAAGAGTAAAATCATATCTAATCTATAAATTACTTTAGCATGAGCATCTTTTATCACTACTAATGTAATAATAAAAATGAAGACATGTGAAATTTGTTGGAACAAAAATTTATAAATTATAAATAACTGAAGATTGGTCTTGTCATATGACAAAAAGGCTTCTTTAACAGAATGACCTTAGCTAAGAATTCAGATTCTTATATATAAATGGCAGTAGAAAAAATCAAGAATTATCAAGTTTCTTCAGGACAAGAGGAAGATGACATTCTAGTCCAAAATCATGTATTATAATTCATGTATATCTGCAAAATACTTTTCAAATCACTGAATAATTAAGAAATTTTAATTGACTAAGAGTTACTTGACATTTACATTTTATAAAATGATTTTTTTTAAATCAAATGAGCCAAGCTAAGTTACTTTGAGACAAATTTTAAAAAACAAGAACTATTTAAACATAATATGCAGGGAAAAATATACTCAGTTCACACTGAAAAAATGTTTTTTGATTAAAACATGAAGATTTCCTCTGGTTGAAGGATGTGAAAATGTAATCACTGACATGCCAGTGTAGTTATATTTTAATAACTGGCCATATTCTGTTTTCTTCTATATTTAAATATTAATATTAATTCAATAAAAATTTAAATTAATTAAAAATTTCAGAATAAAATTTAAAAAAATATATATAGCTTTATTGATTTCAGAGAGGAAAGGAGAGGGAGAAACAGATAGAAACATCAATGATGAGAGAGTAGTCATTGATTGGCTGCCTCCTGCATGCCCCCGACTGGGAATCGAGCCTGCAACCCGGGCATGTGCCCTGACCGGGAATCGAACCCCGATCACCTGGATCCTAGGTCGATGCCCAACCACTGAGCCACGCCTGGCCGGGCAGAATAGAATTTCTTGATAGAAATGTACAGCATTTTTACGCATAAACACATATAAAAGCCATTCACAATTTCAAATATTACAAGATCAATTTCTACATGCTTATTAATAGTTCTTAAACAATTCCGTGTTCCATACCTAGGGAATTTTCCTTTGGAGCATCATCTAGTTCCAACACTTCATAGTCATCACCAGCTCGACCTAAACTTCTTTCATGCCTTGTCATACAAGGTTTAAAACTGACATACGCATGTCTTCTTCCATATCTTCTGCCTGTGATTGTCTGATATCCTCCTGCTGGTTTGGGCCAGGCAGCCTTGTTGGATTCTTGATCCATTGCTGAAACATAGAGTTAAAAATAAAAGTCGCAGCAATGACCTTCATTTTGGCAACTAGTGGGGGTATTGTTTCAACATATATGCTGTTTGCCAAATCATATGCTACTGAACATTAAGTGTACCTCAGTAGTACTATAAAATACTATGTTATCAGAGTTATGTGGCTTCTTTACCCACAGACATATCTTTTAAAGTTTGGTTCCTTTAAGGTATTTTTTTAATAATGTAACCCACCAAAAAATTTTTCATATGCCAAGCTACTATACTGCAAAAGCTCATTAAGGATTGGAAAATGATCCTCCAAATTATCTAAGTAAAGTACCTTACATATAAGTGCTCAATACATATTTGTTGACTGAATTATTAGCACATGATATCATGATGGTTTCAATTACATTAAGAGTGAATACGTTCCTGTGAAAGGTAACAGGTAACTTCTTTAAATGGTATTTATACTACCATAAAAAACCAACTAGACCACAGTAAATGAATCCCAAAGTTAGGGTCAGATAAAATTTTCTAAAAGAAAACAATGATGAGCCAAGTCAAACACATGCTACCCAACTTTTCAGAATTACCAATGGTATACATTATGGTAAGAAAAGCCATCAACAGCTGCATAACTTGAATACTAAGTTCTGATGACTGAGAAACATGTAGTAAACAGTAGCATTTTTTACTAAATAAGACATTATTTTATATATATAAAGTATAAGCTTACTTAGTCAATTTGATTTTACATATACAATGCAGGACCTAAACAAAATTACTATCTCACAGTATATGAAATAGTGAATAAATATGATGGTTGCATATTTTTATTGCATTAAAATAAAAAATATAATTGCTTCCAAGCATAAAAGAAAAACAAACATGTACTTATAAAATACAATAACAAGTATTATGTTACTTAATCCCCTCAACAACCTAATGAGGTAAATAGTGTAGTTTATTTTAAAGACCAAGAAGTTAAGGTTAAAATTAAGTACTTAGGTAGTATGCCCCACAATCCAATAGTATGACTCCAGAACCAGTGCCCTTAACAACAACTCCAAAGAAATAGTCTCCAAAGTGGAAAGCACAATAGAAACCGAGGGGGTGTGAAAAGAAAATATAAAAATTTCTATTTGCACTTATTTTCATATAAAAAATTAGAAATTAAACTTTACAAATATTTAATATATGGATAAAAAATGGCCTTAAGTAAGACTATAATCACGTCATGTATGGTACTGAGATATCTGAAGAGAAAAATATAAAGTCCTCAATGTACAGAAATTGACAGAGACACCTTGCTTACCTGCTGGCTCTTTTTCAGTAAACTGTGACATATATGGAAGTTTTTGTGTGCCTAGTTCAATGGAATTTTGGATGTGACTTAGTTTTTACTCACACAATTAATAAGTTGAAGATTCCTACAAAAAAACCATGGATTAAACAAAGCATTAATACAAGCACAAAACAAAAAAGGCAAAACTAATACTTCTCCTCCTTCTCGTGAAACCTTTGTTAGCTCTATAACAACAAAACCAATCTGATCAGACAAGTTAATCGAAAAACCTCATAACTATGAGAAGGCTAATCTGAAAACAGTTTTACATCTCCTCTTGAAAAATCTTGAAGTATATTTCATCATTAAGATTGACAATAACAACACACATACAATTTATAAGTAAATAAGCAAATATATTTGGAGAAGTGCTGATTGGGGTATGTGATCAAATTATTTGGGACCCTAGTACACTCTGCTATCTTTGTTTCTCCATCAAGTACTATATTGTTCCTTTAGCCCTGGCTTGTTAAAAAAGTTAAACCTAAGAATACAAACTTGGGCTTATCATGATTAATATATAATGCATACAATGTATAATGGCTTATGACAATTAAAAATTAATGTGTGTAAATAATGATATACTTATGCTTTACAGTAGTCAATTGATCATTCAGATTATTTTAATCTTATTCTAAATTAGAAAAATCAAAATTTACCATGTAACAAATATAAAAAGACCTGCAATTTTGAAATTAATATACTTATTTACTATTTCAAAAGTTGTCATATTTGCTCTTCTCAAAGTTCAATAAGGAATTAATTTTTAATTTAAACACCTTATTTAAACATTTGAGCTATTGCTAACTGCCTATCATCAACTCAAATTTATTAGATGATAGTTCTACAAATGAATTTAACTATATGCTATCTGTCTAGTCATGGATAGCTATTAACATACCTAAGAGTATACACACATATTTTCCCCATATAAATTAAAAATTTAGCAACAGGTTGCAATCCTCTCTCTGAATTGAGTCATATTGCTAGCAATAGCTAAAGAGTAAAAATATATTTTAAAAATCATACTGGCAAAAATAAAAGCTCTAATATATATATATATAATATATCTTTATTGATTTCAGAGATAGGAAAGGAGAGGGAAAGACAGAAACATCAATGATGAGAGAGTCATTGATCGAGCCCACAACCCGGGCATGTGCCCTGACCAGGAATCAAACCCTGATCGCCTGGATCCCAGGTCGATGCTCAACCGCTGAGCCACACCCGGCCAGGCTCTAAAATTGTTTTAATAAGAAAAATATCTGAAGTAACTTAAATCATCACAGATTCACAGTACATATGTACATGGCAAACTTAAAGGATAACCATGGATTTAAGTTCATGAGTATTTTATCTAAACTCTTTTCTTTGGAATAGGCTTTATCCTGATACATTCCAGGGCACTATTTGCAGTGCAGAGCATACAACAATGAACAAAATGGACAAATATTCCTGCCACCCGAAAGCACTCTATTAGAATGTAGTGATTTTTAAATATGTCCACAAATTCTTTAATACTTCACCCTTCAAAAAAGCAGAGCCTAATTTGCTCCCCTTAAGCGTGAGCTATAGTTGTTTCTAATGAAGATAATGTGATAGAATGACAGTATGTGATCTACAAAATCAGGGCATAAAATGCATTGTGGCTTCCTCCTTGTTTTCTCTCTTGGCTCTCTTTTTCTCAGAGAAGGCAGCTGCTACATCATGAGGTCACTCAAGTAGTCCTATGGAAAGGTTCATGTGATAAGTAACTGGCAGTTCTTGATGAACTGAGGTCCTCGGGCAATAGCCATGTTAATGAACCATCTACGAAGCAGTTTCTTCAGCCACAATCCAATCAGTCTTCAGATGATTGTACCCAGCCTAAATTTTGAGAGAAACCTTATGAAAGACCTTGAGCCAAAACTACCCAGCCAGGTTGCTCCTGAATTTCTGACCCACCCTAACAATGAGGTAATAAATGTTCTGAGCCGTTAAGTCTATTGCAGCTTAACAAAATATCCTGCACCAGATAACAAATACATATAATGAAAATTACATGTTCTTAGATGCTGGATTTTCATATAGTTCCACCTATTACTAAAACAAAGATTTTCTAATACCATCTCATGAAAGTGTATTTTCTCCCTTTAAAAGCTCTACTTCTGCTCAGCACGCAACCACATCATGTTGTGGTTGACAGTAGCAAAAGGTATTTGACTGGTTTTTTGCTTGTTGGCAATGTCGTAACTGCTGCTTAGCACCTATACTCCACCTGTCACCTAGTAGGAACTCATTAAATAACTACCGAATCAGGGCACTTACTTTTAGAATTTAAATTTAACTGATTCAAATGAAGCTTTACACATATGGAGAGAGAAATGAGTTGAACTTCCAGAAGAAGAGTTTCAATGGAAAGCATGGTTCTATACTCCAGTGACCTATCTGCTGGGAGCCAGAACTCACTTTTTAAAATAAAAAAATGAGGGATAATTGACATATAACATTAGTTTCATGTACATCCATATGATGATTCAGTACTTGCATATGTTGCAAAACAATCACAAATAAATCTAGTTAATATGGTGGTACACAGTTACAAATTATTTTTCCTGTGATAAGAATTTTTAAGACCTATTCTCTCAGCAACTTTCAAATAGGCAATAAAGTATTATTGACTCTAGTCACCATGCTGTACATTATATCTCTATGACTTATTTTATAACTGAAAGTTAGTGCTTTTGACCCTTTTGCCCATTTTGCCTCCCTCTTTTTCCCCACCTCTAGCAACAACCAGTCTGTTCTCTGTATCTATGAGCTTTGTTTTGGATTCCACATACAAGTGAGATCATATGGTATTTGTCTGTCTAATTTATTTCACTTAGCATAATGCCCTCAAGGTCCATCCAGGTTGTTGCAGAATATTCTATTATACACACACACACACACACACACATATATGGTGTCCCAAAAAAATGTATATATACTTTTTTTCTGATAGTTCAATTGATGTTTCTTTCTTTTCAGATTTAATCCATTGGAATTAATAATTATTCAAAGTGTGTATACATTTTTGGGGACATGATATATATATACATGACCACATTTTTCCCCAGGAAGATCATATTTTGGGGAGGTGGCTTAAAATAATTTCTCTCCTAGTTCTGGAGGCTAAAAGTGAAAAATCAAGGTGTCAGTAGGGCCATGTGCCCCCCAAAGGCTCTAGGGAAGAATCCCTCTGTACTTCTGGTTGGATGCAGGAACCCTTGGCATTCCTTGACTTTATACCACATCTTCTTTATCCATTTATCCATCGATGGACACCACTTAGGTTGTTTCCATGGGGTGGAGTGCACATCTCTTCAAGTTAGTGTTTTCATTTTCTCCAGATAAATACCCCAAAATGGAATTGCTGGGTCATATGGTAATTCTCTTCCTAATTTTCTGAGGAACCTCCATGTTTCCTATAGTGGCTGCACCAAGAGTTCTCTTTTCTCCCACATCTTCTCCAACACTTGTTATTTCTGGACTATTTCATAAAAGCCATTCTAACTGGTGTGAGTTGATTATCTCACTGCATTTTCATTTGCATTTCCCTGATGACTAGTAATGTCGAGCATTTTTTCATGTACCTGTTGGCCATCTGTAAGTCTTCTTTGGAAAAATGTCTAGTCATATCCTCTGCCCATTTTCTAATTAGATTGTTTTTTTGCTATTGGGTTGTAAAATTCTTTATATGTTTTGGATACTAACCCCTTATCACATACTATATGATTTGCAAAAATTTTTCCAATTCAATAGTAGGTTGCCAAGAAATAACTCACCTTTCTAGTGTCCTTTCTAGAATCATATGAACGCATATTTTTAAAAAATTTTATTGAATTTATTGGGGTGACATTGGTTAATAAAAGTGTATCAGTTTCAGGTACCCAAACAAAAAAACATTTTAACGGGTCTTTTCTAGAAATGGATAAGTTAGTTGAGAAACAATACAATTTGATCCAAATATTTAGAGGGGGAAGTCTTGATTACTCTCCCAAGCCCACTGTAATATTTATTTTATATTCTCCCATATTTAGCTTTACATGTTTCCAAATACCCTAAAAATGTTTCTCAAAATTCCTTTTAAAACAAACTTCTATTATTATTTAGCCTGCATTTCCTTTTAGTAAAAAAATTCTTTTGTCATACAAAATTTTGGTAATTATTATACTGCAGCTATAAACTCAGAAACATAAACTTCATGACAAAATGAGTTTGTGACAATGACAAATGCTATTAGAAAGCTGTTTTGTACATACTGGAACCAATTATACTTTAACTTAACTTATAAATAGTACTTTGTCTTTCTATTTTCAGCTGCTAAGGCAAAGCAAATATTCCAAGAGATTAATATAGTATCTATTTTGAACAACTTAAGCTTGCACTTCAATTATTCTCACTTTTACATATTCTCTTTAATCTACCTCTAGATTTTTCTTGTCTTCTATCCACAAGCACAAATGGTTGCTTATACATATACACAACTGCAAAATATTCAAGTAGATCTAACTAGCAGATGTACAATAAATAAGGGCTGAGGTGGTAATATTTCTAAACATCACTATAAACATCTGGACACATTACTAAAACTAATTGCAGGAAATCAAGTATTCTACTCAACGACTAGATTTTGAAGTTATAGGCTGCCACACAAGAAAATTTGTGACTACCAAGTTCTGCAGATAAACAATTGTAGAAATGATAATACCTAAATCAGAGGGAAAATTTTAAAGTACAAACACTAAACTTCTGAGAAGAAATGGGTTTGCTATCCCTGGTAACACCTAGAGGTATTCCGATAAAAAGCTAACCTTGCTTAAATACTATTCTTCTCTGAAAACTTTCTGTAAACTATTGTAAAAGAGAAACAATAAGCTCAGCATTGATATAGTGAAACTACATTAAAAACATATGTGAAACATAAAATATATGTAATCAGAAACATTTTTAGATAATACCCAAATTTTATATTTAAATAGTCAAAAAATGTATTTCCCACTTGTTATGGTAAAACCTTTATCTCACCAAATGTTTATAAGATGTTATGCTGTTTTAAAAGTATTATAAATAATTGTTTTTAAAAATCTATCTACAGAGAGAAACTGTGAAGAAAGAATTGAATGAGCATATACCCAACACACTGGAACAATAAAATTTTTCTATGGTTTAATGGAGGTAATATTGGCTAAGAAAGAAAAAAATATTAAAGGGGAGTCTAAAACAAATTGAGATGAAAGAATAAAATACCAGTCCATTAAAAAAACAAGATGATGAATATGCCTCAAATTTCTCTCTCATTTAGATAGTAAGATCTCTGATTCACATGTGGCCCACCCTCCTTTGAGATACACAAGTCAAATCGGTTCATAATAAAGAAGCAGTAGAGATTTATTTCCACATCAAAGCTAGAAAAGCAAAAAAAACAAGGGTACAGGAAAATAGAAAATTTAATGTTATGTACATAAAAACGTTGCAAATGATATTTGATGATAAAAGTCACAAAATGTGCTCAGAATTAATATAGCTGATGTTTAGACACTTAATTGCGTGCTAACTACAAAAAAAAAGCACATTATGAGTGGGGGAGCGGGTTGGGGAGATAAAAAGCAAGCATGGCATAATGTTGAAACAAGATGATGTGTAGATGGGGTTTCTTGTACTCTATAGAAATTTGTCCGCAAATTTTCATGGTAAAACTTTTAAAGTATTTCCTTTTCTTTGCAATCATTTGTTGAAGAATTGTTTACAATAATAAAGCACAAAACTCTTAAGCACACATTGCAGTTCAATGAATTTTTACACAGGTATACATCTGAATAAATACCACCTAGTTCAAGACATTAAACACTAACTTCAGAAGGTTTTCACTTGCCCCTTCCAAGTCATTAACTCCTCCCAACCCACAGGCAACCACTTTTCCTGACTTCTATTACCCCACATTAGATTTTCCTATTTTATACTTCATACAAGTGGTATCATACAGTATTCTACTTTTGCTCAACAAAGTATTTC